TACTAATAATTCATGGATCAACAATGTTATCCACTGTCATGCCCAAATCATCACAATACTAATAATTCATGGATCAACAATGTTATCCACTGTCATGCCCAACTCATCACAATACTAATAATCCATGAATCAGCAATGTTATCCACTGTCAAGCCAAAATCATCACAATACTAATAATTCATGGATCAGCAATGTTATCCACTGTCAAACCCAACTCATCATAATACTAACAATCCATGGATCAGCAATGTTATCCACTGTCAAGCCCAACTCATCACAATACTAACAATCCATGGATCAGCAATGTTATCCACTGTCATGCCCAACTCATCACAATACTAACAATCCATGGATTAACAATGTTATCCACTGTCAAGCCCAACTCATCATAATACTAACAATCCATGGATCAGCAATGTTATCCACTGTCAAGCCCAACTCATCACAATAGTAATAATCCATGGATCAATAATGTTATCCACTGTCATGCCAACTCATCACAATACTAACAATCCATGGATCAGCAATGTTATCCACTGTCAAGCCCAAATCATCACAATATTAATAATTCATGGATCAGCAATGTTATCCACTGTCAAGCCCAACTCATCATAATACTAACAATCCATGGATCAGCAATGTTATCCACTGTCAAGCCCAACTCATCACAATACTAACAATCCATGGATCAGCAATGTTATCCACTTTCATGCCCAACTCATCACAATACTAACAATCCATGGATCAGCAATGTTATACACTTTCATGCTCAACAAAACAACTAGCACATTTTGCAGTTTTTGGTAAAACATACAGGGCACTAGTAAAATAGTGCTAGTACACATTTCAGAAGGAAAATTCTTACTGTTGAGTTTTCATACACCTATGACACAAGTATTTAGGTCACTTATACTGCAAGATTCTGAATACAAAACTGTTTCATTTAGTGATCTCTATTTGAGCTGCATGACATATCCAAATTAAGTATCAAGAAATAGGAATAGCAAGATCACAGCTTCGACCCCTCTGATTGGCAAGGCAATCAGCATGTGGGTCAGACTTGCTAGAATCACACCATCCACCCTCCGCAGTGCAGTTTTGTTAGAAGTGCTATGCCCAAGTAGTTGCTCATTGAAGATAATAATAAAAGAGAAATCACAAAGTTCAATTTTTCCCCCCAAATTCCTCTTACTTTATCCATCATTAACACAAATATTCAGCACATTGCTGTCTAATGCTTTGCAAACTTTTAATAATTAAATACCTTTTTAGTACAGGGTGTCCATTAATAGTGAAGTACTGTACATTTTGTCAATCCAAGTATTCATGGTCTAGATATATCAGTTTCCACTCAAATTGAGCATCTATAAACTTTCATACGACACTGTTACTGTCATTAAAATAAGTTTTGATAACCAGACCTATTTGAAAAGAAAACATTAAACAGAAGATTTATACATATAAGTAGATATTGACATGATTATTGACATTTAATACAAGTAATTAATTATGACACAGTGAGTTAATTTCAGTGAAATATAATGTTTGAAAAAAATTAACCATTTCAATAGTTAAGGTTGGAGCTTGAACTGGTACTGTTAACATTACGTTTTCTACTACAAAGACTTATAATGGGGCCCTTCCAATCTTAGTTCACTTTTATAGGAAATATAAAATGGAGAATACATTTAAAAATGATTAATTACAGAAATTATCAAAATAAAAAAATTCCGCAATACACTAAAAATATGAATATTTTCTTTGGGGGGGAGGGTCAGTGCAGTGCACCACTGGCTACAATACTGACTGTTACTGATAGAATTGGCTGAGGAAGAAAATCAAAATTGAGCTGCCATTGTTTACTATTTTCAACACATGTGCAGTGCCCCCCCCCCCTACCCCAAATATCCCCACAGCATCAAAATCTGGCTTTTAGCATTATAAGCCTTCAGACTTATTGCAGAGCCACTGGCTAGATGTTTTATTGAAGTTTACTAAAAAAACATTTTTATAACCTGGACTATATTTCCAAGTTAAACTGAAACCAAATGAATTGATGGTACAAGTATGTAATACAAAAGGAACAAAAAGTATACTTACCTTGTCAGGTGGAAATCTTGATCCCATATTTATATTTTTAGCAGAACACTGCCTGAAAAAAGATAAATGAAACCTTTACATTTTATAAATTGTTACATGCTTTCATTGCAATCATAATATGAAGTTTGTATTAAGATTCCAAATCCTATTTTAACAGAATTGGTTTTGAATGTTCTACGGAAAGATCAGTTTCTAGCTGCCATTATTCTTTAATTAAATGTATAAATAATTCATTTCAAGAAAGAACCATGTGAAAACATGCTGTTGAAAGGAACAAAATAACAATTTAAAAAGAACCATGTGAAAACATGCTGTGGAAAAGAAGAAATAAACAGTTTAAAAAAGAACTATGTGAAAACATGCTGTAGAAGACAACAAATAAACAGTTTAAAAAGAGCTATGTGAAAACATGCTGTTGAAAGGAACAAAATAACAGTTTAAAAAGAACTATGTGAAAACATGCTGTAGAAGACAACAAATAAACAGTTAAAAAGACTATGTGAAAACATGCTGTTGAAAGGAACAAAATAACAGTTTAAAAAGAACTATGTGAAAACATGCTGTTGAAAGGAACAAAATAACAGTTTAAAAAGAACTATGTGAAAATATGCTGTAGAAGACAACAAATAAACAGTTTAAAAAGAACTATGTGAAAACATGCTGTTGAAAGGAACAAAATAACAGTTTAAAAAGAACTATGTGAAAACATGCTGTGGAAAAGAACAAATAAACAGTTTAAAAAGAGCTATGTGAAAACATGCTGTGGAAAAGAACAAAATAACAGTTTAAAAAAGAACTATGTGAAAACATGCTGTGGAGAAGAACAAAACAAAGTTTAAAAGGAACCATGTAAACACAAACTGTAAAAAGGAACAAAATAATGGAGTTTAAAAACCATGTGAAAAAACATGCCATAGAAAGGAACAAAATAATAGACTTTAAAAAAACCATGTGAAAAAACATGCTGTAGAAAGGAACAAAATAATACTTTAAAAAAACCACGTGAAATAACATGCTGTAGCAAGGAACAAAACAAAGTTTAAAAAAAACCATGTGAAAAAACATGCTGTAGAAAGGAACAAAATAATACTTTAAAAAAAAACATGTGAAAAAACATGCCATAGAAAGGAACAAAATAATAGACTTTAAAAAAACCATGTGAAAAAACATGCTGTAGAACGGAACAAAATAATACTTTAAAAAAAACATGTGAAAAAACATGCTGTGGAAAGGAACAAAATAATACTTTAAAAAAACATGTGAAAAAACATGCTGTAGAACGGAACAAAATAATACTTTAAAAAAAACCACGTGAAATAACATGCTGTAGCAAGGAACAAAACAAAGTTTAAAAGGAACCATGTGAAAACATACTGTAGAAAGGATGAAAATAATAGTTTAAAAAAAACACGTGAAAAAACATGCTGTAGAAATGACAGAGTTTAACACCCAGCCTGCAAGTCAATGAGATTGAAGTCAGGGGATTGGGTGGGCTTGAGGCAGTTACCACACTTAGTCACATTATAGTGACAAGTAAGCTTCATTGAGCCTTTCTCAGTTATCTCTATTGACAAAACTCTTGAAAACCACAAAGAAATTGGCTTTATAGAGCTGAGGAACTACTGCATTTTGTGAGGGAATGTAGATGAGAGTAAAGGTCTTACTTCCAATTAGTCTTAAAAATAGCTCAACTTCAGCCATGCCAATTCAGAATCCAGATATCACAAGGAGTTCAAATCTTCATTCATGATTAAAAGAGAGTACTGGAAACTTTTGTCTGGGAATCAATTCATCAAACCTGCCTCTCTGATTCACAGACCGAGTGTTAAAATGAACCATGTGAAAACAAGTTGTAAATATTTATTAAAAATTATCTGCACTCCTCTGAACTTCACTAATAAAATTAATGAATAAATACAAGTAAAATAACATATATTTTACTGTTTCTTTTCAGGCATCTGTTTCTCAGTGTGAACCATCAACTTCACACAACATAACAGCCAAGGTTCTAACAGACATGAGATCCTTTGAACGAAATAAAAAAATAGTAATTCTAAATACTGTTAAAAAATCATATCTTAATGTTGGCTAAGATATCATATACAACTTCACAAACACAAGTAAAGCAGCTTCAGCTTCAAACTATAAGTTTTTGTGCTTTACAACAAACTCTAAATAAGGCTTTACATGAATATAATGATCAAATATTTACACCACTGCAAGATTTTTAATACAATAACAATCCAAGTGTCTCAAAATATAGTGATATAAAAACATGCACACACAGAGAAAACAATAAATTGAACATGAAACACCAGTTCTTTGAAATATGTCAGAAGATTTACATATATTAGTATTCCTGTCTCTCTTCCCATTCCACTGAATCAGAGTTAAAGTATTACAACCATGCACGTTTCACTGGACTAAATATGTTAGAAAAGTAAGTTTAAATTTCAAGATTTCTAGAACATGGATAAATACTAAAGCATAGAGAAGGGGACTAGATATAGTTGCTGGAGAAATACCTTAAGCAAACATGCCTGAATAAACCATGCAAATAGATCAAAAGACTAGTTTCATTACTTAAGGCAAGTGAAAATAGATCTCCGGAGAAACCCTTAAGAATGAAAGTGATAAATTCTCGTTGAACAGCTGAACAGATGGTTAAGATCAGAAGCCATGAATACAAGTTTTATCTGCTGATCCAAATGGTGAAAATAGGATAAACATGGCCTCTAGGTTGCTCTGAGGTCACTTTGAAATGAATCTAACTCCTAAACAAAGAAGTGGAGAAAACAAAAACTGACAAGAGACTGAAAGAAAGAAAAATGTAATACACAGATTTAACTTGGAAAAAAAAGATTGGCATTGGGTTAGTAATTTCTTCTGTATAGTACTTTATCTCCAAATACAGGTTAAATAAGATTTATGTTCGTCAAGGAACATAGAAAACAACCACCATCAGAAAATTCCATTTTTTCGATTTCCTCAAAATCCTTGGATCCTCAAACAATCTAAAAAATGCAGAATCATAACACATGGCAACAGAATTTGTCCGAAGTATCAAAAGTTGGCATTATGGTTAAATTTGAAGTTCCAAGAGACCCTATTTTAGCCAGTAAAGTATATACACCATGTCTTTTTTTTTTTATGGTATACAATGGTACAAGTCTACAAAGAACCTAAATACTGGAGAAAGCTTGGAACTATGACAAGTTCAGTGGACATGTAAATTCTTCTGACCTCTTACACGTAGCTTTAAGAACTAAAAAGAATAGTTTTAGATTTAAAATAAGTTACATCTTAAATTATACAATTATAGTTTATCACTGTACTTTGTATTTTACAACTAATTCTAAAAACCTTATAATTAATTTCAGACCTATTGTTGTTGTTTTCTGAGCTGACCTTCATGTACTTACTAGTACGAAATAAATGTCCAGTTGGAGAAAGTAAAGAACTTAATTCCATAAAAATGTAAATAATGATGTCAGTAACTCATTTCATCCTTTCAAATAAAAATTAATATCTAGTAATACAAAAGTACATTAATTCATGAATTTAAAGTATAAACACAGATGTGGAGCTACACTTATCCTAAACATATTAATGAATAAGTTGAATAGATTCAGATCACTTTTAAATTCAATATTTAAAAAACATCCACGTTTCCAATTACACTTCAGTTTGAATTCATTTCAGGCAAAAACAATAAAAACAGACTTTTATTGTCATCATATATGATCACATGAATTATCTTATCAACCAGTTCGGAAATTTTATAATATTCTTCGAAATACAAAATTTCCACAGCTCAAATTGGTTTGTCAGTTGATGGAAAGGGAGTGGACTAACCACAGGGAAAAAAACAAAAGTGGAACTAATATATACTCTATACTACTATATTTTAACCAATATATAAAAAACATCAATTTTTCCATGTTTCTAAATTTATAATTCTCTTATTTCCATATGCTTTCTTGACTTTTGATTCTGACATTGTTTTTGACATTTTTGCTTTAATTACTTTTCTGGTCAATACTTGTATTACTTTTGTCATTTGTCTTTTATTATTACAATCCTTCATGACACTATATCGTGATCATGGTTGACTTGATTACACACAGACACTAGGCTTGTTTTCAAAGTACTGTGTAGGACCAAGAATTGAAAACAAAACAAAAGAACAATTCTTATAGTAAATGTTTCAAAACAATTCTTACTTAATACAAGTATATTTTTTTATAACAATTGCAATAGACAAAAATTTTGCATGATTCTTCCCCAGATTCTTGAGTCATTTTTATTCTAAAATGTTTACCATCACAGAATTATTTTATCTAAATACAAACTGTATGTTACAAAGAATTCATTATATAAATAATTGTAGAGTAACGTGATTTAACTGATATAGTTGTTTACCCTTGAGTAATGATTAATTGTATTACTGTCTCATAAACTAATCAATTAACTGATACTATGATTAATTTGATGAAGTGAAATTAATGTTCTGATTTTTACCCTTTTCTGTTATTCCAGTAATCAATTAATCAAAAGTATGAATAAATTAACTGTCACAAAAACAATAAACTAATCTAAATTAGTGTTTCTGACTGTTATTATTTTTTGTTACTCCAACTACCCAAGTAATCCAAATATTGCTATTACAGAATGTGGGAAAAACAAAATAATTGTAAATTTCACAAGTATTTGTGAACACCAACTGTTCTTTTATTCTGTTTTTTTTTTTCTTCTTGAACTTCTGAACTAGAAAGATGTCCAGTCTAGCAGCACCTACATCCAACTTGTATCTTTGTCTTCTTCAACTGCTGTGTACTAATTGATTAACCAAATGTAATCAGTTAATGGTGTTATTGATTAATCAAGTAGCAGTTATAATTAATCATCCAGCTTTGAATGCAAAATTGCCTGTTGAGATGTTGATTGTACAGTACCATGTTTACTTTTTCCTGTTAGCACTTCTGAGTCAAAAATTTTAAGCTCTTTATATTCTCTTTTCTTTCTAACCTTTTGCTAATCTATCATGCTATTGCATGTAAATTTTCATTATCTCCCAAACCATGACATATTGGTTTTCGTTACTCTGTCATTTTTACCACAACTGTTACTTCAGTTTCCAAGTCTTATGATTACTATTATTGAGCTTTCTTTTGTTGAATTTACCTTTATTTATTAACTTTCCATTTTCCACTCCACTCTGTTTTGTAAAGTTATGGAGGTTAGCTAAAGTCAGATCAGTTGTATTTTACGCACCTCGTAGTACATTATTTTTATTTATATTACATTTAACTTTGCAATATTTTAACTAGAGTACCAACAATCTTGCCATTCTTTGTACAATTAAGGAATTCATTTAATTAATTTATTATTAATATTAGCTTTTATCACATAAACACTAGTTTTTTGTTGTATGACCTAGAACATCCTGCTAGTGAGTGCTGATAAACCATATAGCAAAACAGTCACATGTTGTAGTACTTTATCTCATATCTTAGGATATTCTAAAATTATACTTCAGAGCCATTTAATGAATTTAAAGGGAATTCATTGGTACCAGAACATGTTATGGAGGAATAAGTAAAATTATGCTTATACTGATGTTCAGCTTTTCATTAACATTAAATTTTGAGTATAACAGTACATGAAGCAAACAACTAGTGTTTGAATTTTGTATTGCATATTCTTTTCTTCAATGTCTCTTTTATTGTTTGTTTGTTTTTGAGTTTCGCACAAAGCTACACGAGGGCTATCTGCACTAGCCATCCCTAATTTAGCAGTGTAAGACTAGAGGGAAGGCAGCTAGTCATCACCACCCACCACCAACTCTTGGGCTACTCTTTTACCAATGAATAGTGGGATTGACCGTCACATTATAATGCCCCCATGGCTGAAAGGGCGAGCATGTTTGGTGTGACGGGTTTCTTTTATGAACAATATTGGTTAGAATGTTTAATGTCTATTTTTACATTTAGTTTCATTAGATAATTTTGCATTATCTTAATGCAACTATAACTTAGTACAAGGGTTAACAATCAACCTAAATTTCCTGTCTTAACCTCTTGAGATATTATTGGATTTATGACTGAAAATATTGCTAACAGTAACAGCAAAGATGTACAACTGATGAAAGAATGCATTACAGTCTTTATAACTGTATATATAATTTAGTTAGCTATAGTCATTACCAAGATTATTTTCCATTTTTTACTAAATTAATGGTTTACTTAGATCAAAAGTTTATATTAATTATAATACATAAAAGCCTAAACAACTGAACATAATAATTACTATTATACAGCATACCCATAACAGTACTGCGATGTATACGTCCAAAACTCGGATATCGAAAACTACTGCACCGACCATCACGAATCATAACTGTATAATATTTTTATAACTATGCAGTATTTTTACAGCTGAGCAATAAATAAAACAATAGAAATTTCCACAAAAATTATATATTTCAGATTTAACCAAACAAAATTACAAAAAACGGTAAGTTTTAAATATAAAACAATCAAAACACAAACTTAGTGAAAATCTCAAGTGTTGCAACAGAAAAGCAAGGCACTTTCATTGATAACTGCATCTACAAAGAAATACACCAAAATTCAATAAAATTTAGTCTCCGATGTAATGCTGTGATGATAGATCATTTTTAAACTAAAATTTCAACGAAATCCTATCTCTCATGAATGGTGAACATTATTGAATGTTAAGTATGAGTACATTGTTGTAGAACTGTCAGTATCAGACAATTCCAGAAAAGGCCTCAGACCCAATACTAATATAGCACTAGTAGTTATATCTGCCCGGAGGGCGGGTATTTCTGCTAGTACCCATAAAAGTACTTCTACCGTCTTATTAGAATACAAATAAACAAATGTTTACAATATACATAACTCTCATTAAAACCTGAAACAAACAACGTACTATAAGGGGCTTCACTTCCTACAATAACACTCATCAATGTCATTTCCTTTCCTAATAAATAGAAATGGCGAATTGTAACGAAAAAACATAGAGGGCATTGTTGACACACTTCATGCTCACCTAGTAATGACCCAACTTTTTAGCGCCATCTTTATTACAATGTCTTATCAAACACATGTACAAGTTCTTAAGAGGGCATACAAGAAACATAAATAGAACTGTAACAGTTACTTACTGTTTTTTGTTTTCCAACACACACACACACATATATATATATATATACTTTTGTGTGTTTATTATTTTTTTGTGGGTATATAAACAGTTTTCTGATAGGTGGTTAAGTTGATGTACGAATCGTATTTTGAATGCCACAAGCAAGTACACTACTCTCCTGTTCTAGGCATGAAAATGTTATAAAACAAAATGAAGAAAACAGAAGTTTAAGATATATAGGTGAGTATTAAACGTCTGTAAATAAGGAAAATATAAGTTCATAGAATTTCGGTAAAACCAGTGACGGTGTATTCATTGATTAAAAACAAACACAGTAATTATGAGATTTATGAGGGTTAATCACTTAGTGTCAGTTGTGAAACATTTTACCATTTACGAAATTGTTAATAGACTCAGCAACCAGTAAGAGTTTGTTTTTGCAATATTGCGCAAAACTACTAGAGGGCCGTCTGCACTAGTTGTTTATAATTTAGAAGTGATATACTAGATGGAAAGCAGTTGTTACGACAGCAGAAGTCACGTGACGCTGCAGGCGCATGGTGACTGAATTTCTCGAAATATCGGGAAACTCCGCGAATTTTGGCGAAACCTCTTTGTTAGTATATAAGCCTGGCAAGAAAAGCCACCGGAGTTAGTTTGGGTGAAGGAGGATTGTTTAATCTTCGAACAACCTAGATTGATAATTGTTTCCGAAGGAAACAATTATTTTTAAATCTAAATAACTGCCAGTTCTTCTTCTTCCACCGGAGTTAAGCGAACAGTGGTTACAGTGATTTCTGTGTAATTTATGATTCTGTTAGTTTCGAGCTAGTGAGCCGTAAAGTGTGTGTTTTGCACTCGTAGAGAGCGAAGTTATCAAGGTTGTGAATCGTTGTGACTTATAGTGTGTATTATAAAAGTTGTTAAGTTGAAAGTGACTAGAAACGTACTAACTGTGGAATTACTGTGTACTAAAAGTTTGTACCAAGAAAGAATAAATGGGGTTTAATCAAGAAAGGACTTGTATTGCTGAAGTTCCTTGGAAAGAATTTCTACCGGAAATTAACAAACGAGCAGATATATATAACAAATCGGTGTCAGAAGTGGGATGAAAAAGAAAAAAAAGATGGAAACGAGAAGCGGCAGATCAAACTACAGCTTAGCAGATATCATGGCAGCAATACAAGAACCGATAACGAAACAACAAGAACGAGGAAAGAGACAAGAAGGACGAAAAAAGAAACAAGAAGAGAGACAACAGCAGTGTTAGGTCTAACAGCAAAATAAACAAGAGAGATTACAGCAGTTGTTGGAGGAAAAAGAAAAAATCAAGAAGAGCGAGAAAATAAACAAGAGAGACAACAGCAATGGCAAGAAAACCTGCCACAGTGGCAGCTCGAACAGCAAAATAAACAAGAGAGATTACAGCAGTAGTTGCAGGAAAAACAAGAAAAACGAGAAAAGATATAAAAAGAGAGATTACAGCAGTTGTCGGAGGAAAAAGAAAATAAACAAGAAGACAGACTACAAGAGTGACAAGAAGAACAAAAAGTGAATGTACAACATCAGCATGAAGTACAAATGGAAAAGATTAGTAAATTTCAAAGTGAATTA